TGTCCCATGGTCCCCTCTGTGCTGCTGCCCCCATGATGACACCCCCCTCTCCATGCAGCACATCTCCATCCCCCAGCCCAACTGCCCCTCGGAGGCTCGGACCTTCTCCTTCTACCTCTCCAACATCGGCCGCGACAGCCCCCAGGGCAGTTTCGACTGCATCCAGCAGTACATCTCCAGGTGAGGCCCGGAGGGACAGCCCTGCCTCTCCAACCTCCACCCTGGGGCTCCCACAACCTAGCCCACTGTGCATATGTTTGCCCACCATCTCTGGCCCAGTGCCCCTTTCTTTTAGATGAGCTGCTCTGGCTCTTTTCACTGTGTCCAGAGTGTGGGTGTGGGTCCTGGCGTGTTGCCTCTGGCCCAGGGGCCTGGGTCCTCTTGTTTCTTCTGGGTCAAGGTGTACCCTTTTGAAACCACGTGGCTCCAGTCAGTGTTGAGCCCTGTTTCCCGGCAGGGGTGGGAGGGTGCAGGCCCCAAGATGTCTCCCCATCTCCCAGGTGTTCTCATCTTGGTTCCCGGCACCTTGTCTTGCAGCCATGGGGATGTCCACCTGGACTGCCTGGGTAGCATCCAGGACAAAATCACAGTGTGCGCCACTGACGACTCCTATCAGAAGGCGCGGCAGAGCATGGCGCAGGCTGAGGAGGAGACTCGGAGCCGTGGTGCCATTGTCATCAAACCTGGAGGACGCTACTTGGGTGAGGATGGGGGCCTGGAGCTCCACCCATGGCGGGGGGTTCCACCTGTGGGCAACTATTTAAGGAGCCAGAGGCATTCAGGGCTTGTCCAGGCCAGGAGTAGGAATGGTAGATGACAGAGCTGTGGCCCCCGAGCTGGACCAGCCAGTTTCATGTCGGGTCAGGAAGAAGATCCTCCTGCATTGATTGAGGGCTATTTCATCTGCCACCTCCAAACCTCCAAGTAGACGCAGTGTCCGAGAACTGGAGAAATTTGAATCCATGGGCCCTCTCCCAGGTCGTGGCTTCAGGGACCTCTGCCTTTCAGGGTCACAAACATGCTCCATGAAGTTAGGGTTGCCATCTTTCCTCTGGCTGTCACCTTCTGCCCTCACCTGCCCAGCTGACTCCTACCCAAGGCCGTTGTGGCTGACATGGTGGCCTGCTGCTGTGTTAGGACCAGCGAGGGACTGTTGGGTTGAGACCTGGAAGGAAAGGCATTGATCTCTGCTCACCTAGAAGGCTCCAGCAGCTCAGCATCTGCTCAGAAATTATTGTGAAATTGAGATACCAACAATGTTAAAAATGGGGAGAAAAGTAGAGTTTATTAAGAAAGCTCTACCACCCAGCTGCAGCTTTCCCACGTCCTGGACCTAGTCAGAGTTAAAGAGTCATCAGACTTTATTGCCAGGTAAAGAGGGGCATAAAGTTAGAGAAGCATGAACTGGTTCACAGCAAATGAGGACCTCGATGGCTTCATGGAGTTTCTGTCTTGAGAAGAGGTGGGAAGATTTCAACCCCCCCCGCAAAGCAAGCCTGTGATTTTCCTTGCTTGGCAGTGGGGTTGGCTTTGAATGCAACCTGAGACTTCATTGCAGGAGTCTGTCCTACCAGTCATGCTGGGCCCTAGTGGGTGTGGCCATGCTGCCCAGAGAGCCCGGGCCCTGGGCTGTGAGTAGCCCGCGGCTAGGGTCAGAATCCAAAAGTGCTTCACCTACTTGCTGTCACCTAAATATGCAAATGTGGACATTCATACACATCTTAAATTTCTGGGTCCTTTGGCCAAAAACTTGGTCAAAATTTGTCTTATTGGATCACTTTGGGTACAACAAGAGTTTTTGCTGTGGTTTATAATATGATGGAAACCCTCATCTGCCAGTCTCTGAAAACACAGATGGGCACATCCGACTGTGTCAGGCCTCTCCCCTCCCCATGTCAACCCTTCAGCTGGGTCCTCTGGGGATGAAGTCAGGCCCCGAGGATTCGAAAAGCACTTCTTGTGTTAATCTGACAAATCAGATTTGAGGGATAAGAGCAAAAAGAAGTCATGTGAAGAATTTTTTGGCCCAAGGATTCAAGGCGTTGGCTGACCTTTTGGCCATTCACAGCCCTCCATGGCAGAGGCTCCGTTCAAGACAGAGTTAACAACTTCCTCCCTTGAGAACAGTACTCACTGGCTCGATGGAGGGATGGCTGTACTGGACCCATAGTCTATTTGTACAGGGAGGGTGGGGAGCAGCCCACTGCCCCTGGGGCTCTAGGCAACTCACATCTGCCCAAGGAGTGAGTGCTTGGGGCTACAGCTGGGGAGCTGCTAGCACCTCAGTCTCCAGAGCAGCTGCCAAGCAGTCCTGACACCTTTATTCCTTTTTTTCATAAAAGAATGGCGGATCCCTTAGGGGCAGCATAGGGCTATGAAGTACAGGCTCTTGGGGCACCTGCGTCTGGCAGTTCAGGGACTCCCCAACCTTTTAACATCAAAAAGGGTCATAGACCAACTCTTTCTCCCTGTGGTAGTTGGCGTTTTTGGCCCCCAGGATTCAGGTTGTCCACAATGAAGTCAGTTAATGGCCCTAAACATGCTTCTACTTCCTGCAGCTCCCACTTCTGATCCTGCAGGTGCCCAGTGAGCTGTATGTGGTCAGCAGGTGGTACTCTCAGCCGCCCAAAGTCCCCACCAAGCAGGCCAGGCTGGGCATGCTGGCTTGTTAGGGGTGCAGTGTTATTGGCCATCACTTCCCATGCTTAGGAACTTGGTGTTGGTTACAGACAGTGGGACATCTTGGCCACCCCAAAACCCCCTTCAATCCTTAATACCTGGTTCTTGTGGCAGGTAAGAAGGTTCAGTTTCGGAAACCAGCCCCAGGGGCGATGGATGCTGTGCCCTCCCGGAAGCGTGCAACCCCCATCAATCTGGCAAGTGCCATCAAGAAAAGCGGTGTTAGCGGGGGCGGTGGGGTGTCTCAGAGGCCCTTCCGTGACCGGGTACTACACCTTTTGGCACTGAGGCCCTACCGGAAAGCTGAATTATTGCTGCGGCTACAGAAGGATGGCCTGGCGCAGGCGGATAAGGACATGCTGGACAGTCTCCTCCAGCAGGTGCGTGCTTGCCCAGGGCTGGGCTGGGGTAGGTAGGGGTGGGGTCCAGCAAGCCTGTGAGCAATCTCTGTAGATGGTCTGGATAGGCAGTGGGCTAGGAGTGTGGCACTTACTGTCTGGGGGCCTAGGGGTTGGCTCAGAGTGAGGCCAGCACTGCACTCCTTGCCATCTGCTAACATGTAAGCAGCAGGCACTGCATAGTGGATCTAAGACTTCAATTGCTCAAGGTTTTTAGAATAGAGTAAAACCTGGGGAACCCATACATGTGAGTTAGTGAGAGCTCGGGCTCAGCAGTCACAAGGGCCTCCCTGCCTCTCACCAGCTGTGACTCTAGGCAGGGGGCTTCACTTTTGGACCCTCTAGCCTCCATCTGTGCCTAGGGCATGACTGCAGCACCTCTTGTGGGGCCAAGAGCTTAGCCAGCGGGAACATGGTGCTGGCAGTGGAGCCTGCTATTAAGAAACAGGCTGGGCTTTGGAGTAAGGCCCTGCCTTGGCTCCCGTGGCTCCAGGAAGCAGCTGGAGGACCCCTGGGAAATGAGTGGCTTGCTCTGGCTCCACCATGTCTACTGGGCCATGCAGATACCACTCCAGTGTGCTGCTGTGAGGACAGTTATATCAGTACCCTGAGGAGGAGGTGTGATCAAGCCTCTTCTTTGCTCTGCCAGCTCACCTGCCTTTCCTGTTTTCTGCTCTGAGACTTGACTAGCACCTCCTGCGGCAGAAAGCCCATACCAAGATGGTACCGATATCTGAGGAAGAGTTTCTATATTTACTGAGTTCTTCAGCAGAACTCTGGTTACTTGTCTTCCCTGTCCTCAGTGTAGCCTGAGGCTGGTGTGAACCATGCAGCATGCTTGGTAGGAGGATGTCGGTATTTGCTCCAGCTGGGGTCCTTCATTACCCTTACCCCCCAAGAGTTCATGGCAAAGGGCAAGGGTGGGGAGAAGAGGCCTCTGTGACCTTCCTCTGTGGAAAAAATGGAGCTGCATTCCATGCGTGGTTGCGGATCTGGGCTGGGATCCAGGCCCACCCATAGACACTGGGGGCCCATGGGCAGGTGCCTCCCTACCCCTCCCCTTGGGAGACATCCTTATCGGTGAGAGTGTTGACAGGTAGGTGGTCCTTCTGAAGAGCATTTCAGCAAAATGTATCAAAAAACATAAAAACATTAAGAGCCTTTGACCCACTAATCCTACTTCTGAGAAGCAGGCCGAAGAAAACCATTGCCAGCGTGGAAAAGCCTGCACACAGAGGTGTCTGTTTATGCTACAGAGAAACTAGAAACGCATCAGTGTCCAACGAAGGAGAACCATTTGAGTAAATCACAGTATGGCCACTTGGAATATTACTCAGCCATTAAAAATGCTCCCTGTGGAAAACACTAATATGGAGTTCTCTTAGAAACCAGCAATAGGGAAAAATAGTGACACATAGTTATACATGCGTGTGTGGGAGACCAGGGTGCCCAGCAAGGTAGACAGAAGTGCCCACTTTGGGGCAGTGGCCCTCACAACTTCAGGAATCTTTAAGGCACATGTTTTGTTTTGTTTTGTTTTTTATTTATTTATTTTTTAATTAAGTTTATTGGGGTAACATTGGTTAATACAATTATTTAATTTTCAGGTGTACATTATAATTTGACATCTATATATTCTATTGTGTGATTACCACCCAAAGTCCAGTTTCCTTCAGCTACCATATATTTGATTCCCTTTACCCACTTCACCCTTCCCCTATCCCTCTATATTTGACTCCCTTTACACCCCTTCTACCTCTCCCCTCCTCCTCCTCCTCCACCTCCTACCCTCTGGTAACCACTAGTCCATTGTCCATGTCCCTGAGTCTCTGTTTGTTTGTCCTGTTCATTTGTTGGTTTTAGGTTTATATCCCACATATAAGTGACATCATGTGATTTTTAACTTTTTCTGTCTGGCTTATTTCACTTAGCATGATTATCTCGAGGTCCATCCATGTTGTCACAAATGGCAGTATTTCATCTCTTTTTATGGCTGAGTAATATTCCAGTAATAATCTGCCATTTATTGATTGGATCGTTTGTTTTTTGTTGTTGTTGTTGTTATTGAGTTGTATGAGTTCTTTGTATATTTTGGATATCGGCCCTTGTCGGA